AATTATAAACAAATAAGTTTCGAGCAATACCCAAGTGGACTGGGAACCGAAGCAGATAAAGATTATTCATTGTGAAAGGCAACCCGTCGTCTCAAGCGCCCACTCCTTCAAGTGGCACCAATCAAAAATGCAGTAGAACAATGAGTCAGAAAAAATGATGAGAAAGCAGAAATGTTTGCCCAACATCTTGTCGCAGTATTCCAACCGCATGAAATTCCATCTGATGTCAATATTACACCTGTATATCAACCATCGTCAACTATCAAATCCATAAATCCTATAGAAATAGCATAAGAAATTTATAATAACTTTAATTCAAAAAAAAAGCACCGGGAATAGATGAAATATCTCAGGGCTTATTTAAAGAGTTATCACGCAAATCAATTATCATGATGACATATTTATTCAACGCCTGTCTTCGGTTACAATACGTACCAAAATGTTTAAAAACAGCAAAAATTATTATGATTAAAAAAACCAAATAAGTCACCAGAACAAGTTAACTCTTATCGACCAATATCTCTGTTACCAGCACTTTTAAAGCTATTCGAGAAGCTATTAATTAGACACCTTAAGCCTATGATCAACATACCTAAATTTCAGTTTGGAGTTAGGAATAAGCACTCGACTATTGATCAAGTTCATCGAGTAACTAAGACAATTAAAAAAGCATTTGAAGAAAAGAAATACTGTCCTGCAGTGTTTATTAACGTATCCCACGCATTTGATCGTGTATGGCACCACGGATTTATATATAATATAAATCTTATATATAAATAAATTTATATGTAATATGAGCAAAATACTGCCAGCTAATTATTGCCAACTTCTTGAGTCATACTTATCAGAAAGAACATTCAGGCTAAAATATGAAGAAGAACATTCGGACATATATCCTGAGAAGAATAAGGCGAACAAAACCTCATGAGTTAACATATTTAATATTGTATTATAAATTATTGTATTATTATTGTATTATTATTTGTATTATAAATTATAAAACATTGAATTATAAATTATAAAACATGGTATTACAAATTTTTTGTATGGGAACTGAACAATGTATGGGAACTATTAAGTACAATACACCAATAGTTATAAATTAACTAATAGTTAAGACTGTACTACTCATATTCAATAAAAAGATATTTAAAAAAAAAAAAATATGTTAGTGAGGATGTCTTAGTATTTCTTAGTACGTGTTTTACTGATTTGGCTGCTGCTTCCCACAGTCCACTGAAATGTGATGCACAAGGAAGTATTGCAACTTCACGAAATTCTCGGTTCGTTATTAATCATTTGCTGGGGTATCCTCAGCCACTTTTCGGAATCGTTGCAATAAATTTGTACTCGCAAGGACAAGACTTCTCAAAGTAAATACGCGTTTATATATATTTTTAAGAATGTTTATTTAATATTATTTGAAAATAATTACTTTTCAACATAGTGTGTTTGAGTAAAAAAAAAATG